CAATGAGGCAGTTCATATTTGTCTCAGTGAATCATTAATTTTTGACAGACACCTGTACAAAATACTTGGACTAAAGCCAGCTAAATTTTTCTGTTATCTTGCATGTTTTATCAATCTATTCACGTCTAGATGCAGCACTTTTTTTTTGCAATGAGACATTTGTTTTTATACTAAAATATCTGAATTACTTTGAATAAAGCTGGAAATTATGTCCCTTAAAATAATTAAACAAATAAGGCACCAATGTTTTTGTAAGATATTTACATCTTTAAAGGACATTCGGTAGACTGATTCCCCACTGTTGGTTCAACCCCAAAACTTGTTTGTATTCAAAATTAAGTATGACAATGCATATTTATATTGAAACAAACTATGATAAAAGGAATTATATTATATAACAAAGGACAAGGTCACCAGAGTTCAACTATGTTATTGATACAATATACACTTTATTTCTGAGAAATGTGTTTTTTTTCCTGTGCATATGCTAAAGCAGAATTAGAATCAGCAATGTCTCATGTATGATACATGATGGAAAATTGATGTCCATTCTACATGCAATATTCAAATCTGCTTGAATCCTTTAATTAATAATAATATAAACTTTATTGCCTTCTTATTGAACTAATAATTATATTGGTATACAGCAATAAATAAATTATTTTTATATTTATAATATGTCGCTAGTAAATTAAAGACAAATATTACCACTGTCTAGTCAGAACTATTCTTTTTCTAGTCAGTACGCACAATTTAATTTTAAAATTTTAATCTTTTTTTAACCCAAAGTTAGCTTTTGTCACAATTTATAAAATAATTTTTTTCATATTTTTTCAAAAATTTTGATCAAGCCCTACAGGCAATAGAAAATTCAGTCTATTCGCTTCAAAATTAATTGGATAGTTAAAAAAAAGTCATGAAAATGTGCAAAATATTATATCAAAAATTTGGCGGAAAAAAATTCAACAAGGACTAATACTCCAGCAGATTTATTTTCTACATGGTGTACCTCAATCTAGTGAACCATAGTAAATCAAATGTGTCAGTGGAAAGAGAAAATTGAAAAGCACAATTTAACAAAAATTATGACTGAAAAGCATAAATTATTAGTTATAATTTTGCATTTACATTCAGCCAGTCATTTTATTTGTCACGTAGGTACATTGAGATGGCAACATGCGGGCAGCTTTATTTTACCCAAGATATATTTAACCTTTTCTAATTTTGACATGGCGCCTGCTAAATAAAAGTTATAAAAAATAACTGTCTTCATTATTAATGATAAAGTCAATTTTTGTCGCCTTTCAAAAAATAAACCTGAAAAATTTTTTTCATATTTTTTCAAACATTTTGTCAAGACTTGTACCAAATGACAAATAATGTTCATTTATACCAAAACTAACAAAGATCAAAGAAAGCTTAGAAAGAACTCCCGTGTGCTGAGAGAGTATAGAAGACACATTAAAAATTAATTCAAAATTACTTGTACTTGAGATATGGATGGATAAGCTGAAAACTAATTATGTAAATCACGTAACTAATATGAACAGATTTGAGTGTAAAACTAATAAGGCCTGTGTAATGTAATATCTATGTACCAAGTTTCATTGAAATGTGATTAGAACAAAAAAAACTATGAGATATTATTAGAGAATTAATATGAACAAATTTCAAGCCAAAATTAATCAGGCCTGTTGATTGTCCTTGAGCATTTAAGTACCAAATTTTATTCAAATGTGATTATCAGTAATTGAGATATCAGTGTTAATTAGGTGATTAATAAGCATAAATATTTACGAAAAACTAAATGGGTCTTTGCATAGTCCAAGGTTCATTGAAATGTGATGATGAGTACTCTTTAAAAGTTTCATTAAAATCCAATTAGTGGTTTTTTATATATCAGTGGAACATTCATGGAAAATAGTTATGCTAATAAGGTAAGTAATATGCACAAATATTTACCCCAAAACTAATCAGGTCTCTGCACAGTCCTTAAGTAACTATGTACAAACTTTTATTAAAATGTGATGATTACTACTTGAAATATCAAAAGCTGAAAATTAATAAATTATGCAAATTAGGTAATTAATATGTATTGATATTACTTTAAAAACTATCAGGTCTGTGTAGTGTCCTATGACATCTATGTATCAAGTTTTATTGAAATGTGATGATTAGTACTTGAGATATCAGTGGAAAAGCCGCAAATTGATTAATCATTATGCGAATTAGGTAATTAATATGCCCGGATTTTTACCTAAAACAAATCAAAACTGCACATTAGTTCAGAGCA